AATTTATTTATATTTATTAAAAATAATTATTTAAAAAAATTATGATAAAATTTAACAATTAAAAATTAAAAAAATAATTAAAATTGTATATAAATATAATATATAAAATTTACCTACCTCCTCCGGTAAAATTAAGATAAGAGTCCAAATGGATGGAAGAAGTAATTCTATCTTGTGAAGGATGCCTTTGAACACTCTTTTTGGGAGTACAAAATACGAGGACTGTGAGATGAAGGATGAACAATTTATTAGTAGGGGGATGCTAATAAACAAAAACTCAAAGTACAGGATGATAACTAGCTTTAAGGTAATTTCAATACCTATATATATATATTCAAGCAGTTCTTTCCCAACAGCTCAGCTCTTTCAGTCGATCAAGTTTCAACCTCCAGAGTCCAAATTTCCCCAATGAAACCAAATATTTTAGCCCCCAATTCTTTACTCTCACTTACTCCCTACCCCTCTCTCCCATCAAGAAACCCCAATCGCTCCCCTAAATGCTCAACTCCAACCACTTGCCTCTTCCTCAAATCAAAACCCTCTCGTTTCATTCCAATTTGTTCTTTAAATCACAACAAACAATCCACTGCCGGTGAATTACCAAACCAGGCCGCAGAGAATTCAAATTGTTTTCTTGAACAAGAGTCACAGGGGAATTATAATGTGCAAGTGGGCAGCGCCATTTTGCCATCGCATTTTCCGTCGCAGAAGATGAGCCTGAGCGATCAGGCTTTCTTTCTCTTGGCCTTTATCGCCTGCACGGTATGGAATGAGACTTTTTTAAGTTTATTGGGATTGAATTTTAAAGATTTTTACTTCCTAGTTTTCTGTCTGAGTTATTCCACTTCCCTCCTGATGGACCTTTTTTATTCCTTCCGTATCAGCAGCATTTTGGGTTTTTGTAGTTGGTAATCCTTAGGCTTGATTGGGTGTTTTTTTTTTTTTTTTTTTTTTTAATACCTAGAGACTGGGAATTGAACTTTAGAACTATAGCTGATTGCACAGCAAACTTTATCACTACATCAGGTGACTTTTGGTTGGTGATAATGTCGACTTCATAGTCAAACTAAAAAATAAATAAAAAAAAGCTAAAATTGAAAAACTTTCTTAAGAAACTAGCAATAACTAAAGCTTGATGTCTAAGTTTCCAACTTTAGCAAATGATTATTCCTTGAAAAATGGAAAGAATACATAATCCTCATTTATGTCTTAGTGTATTAGAAAATTATCAACATTATGGCTTAGCTATTCCTAGCTTCTTAAGCTAGTTTCTTAAATTTAACTTGCTTTTATAATTTGATCAAGAAATAGTCATTAACACCAACCAAATATGACCTTTTGAAATGATTTTGATTGGTAGTTTTCATTTTGTGTGGTTTTAAATGGCTAATATGTGAGTAAGTGGATGATGTAAAAGGATGTTACTTTTTTATAAGGTTGTATATGTTAATTAGGTGTTAGTGATATTAATGATTTTGAAGAAGTTCCGAATGTCACCTTCAAGGAAAAGGGTTAGTGTTAGTACTTATTGGTGTGATGCTGAAAACCATAGAAATTTGTGAAGATATATTTACAAAATGCTAGGGAAGTTTAAGATTTTGTATTGTGCTTCCAACAGTGAAATCGTTCTCTTTATATGAACTGGCACAGTTACAATTGAAGTTTTATTATTTGTTAGACATAGGGTTTGCATTAATGCTAGTCCATCCTTTTTAATGATTGGATTTATTAGGGTTGCTATGTTCCTAACCTTGTGTTCAAGTTTTTGTATTTTTGAATTTTGCTGTTGAACTTAAATCTCTCATTGGTCAAGAATTCATGCTGATGCATGCAGACTTCTGTTGCATTTACAAGTCTAGTCATTGCAGCTGTTCCAACACTTTATGTAAGTTCTTCAACTTCTTAACTGGGGACTTTAATTTGAAGATTTATGTTATATTCTACTTTAATGGGAAAGCTTATTTTTCTCTGTTTTAAGAAACTCTAATATGCTTAGTTTTTTGCACTCAAATTTGTGGCATTGATTGTTATTAGGAAGCCTATATAGGCCCTGGCAGCACTCATTGAGGGTGTTTTGTGAAGCTTAAAAACTAATTTACTTAAAAAGAAAAATTTTCTCTTACAAATTTGAAAACTTGTTGGAGAGAAATTCAAAAATTACCTTCCAAAGTGACTTTTAAGTAAGTTTTGAAAAAGCTAAGATGTGTTGTTTTCTCAAAATTTGCTTAAAAGCCACCTTAAAAGCCAATTTCTGAATTTTCCTCCAGCAAATTTTCAAATTTATGAGAAAAGAATTTGCTGGTAAGCTCCACCAAACATCCTCATTATTTCCATTTTGCTTAAACTAACCTCTTTATGCCATCCTCCTCTTCTCTTGGTGATGATTGATGTGCAGGAGTCCTTATGGACTTTTAGAAGTAATAGATATTCTTTAACATTTTCTTGCACAAACTCCTCTGTAACCTAGTCTCACTTGTCATGATTCAAATCAACATTGTTTCTGGAATTTGTGCTTTAACTGAAATTCTTTGGTAGTATGATAATTTTCACATATAAAACATCCAGCTGTTCAGAATAAGGGCTGAATTTAGTCATGCTGTTTGGGTTGGTGTTTGTAGTCCTTTGTTATTAATGTGTCTTCCCATTCTCTCTATCTCTCTCTCTCTCTCCCCAAGAAATGTCTTCTATATGTTGTTAGATTAATGATAAGTTTTCTTATGCAATTTAGTAATGAGGTCTTGTTTTCTTTTCTTGTATATTTAATGATTCTCTTGCCTGTTTTCAAGGCAATGGGCAGAGCGGCAACTTCTCTATCAAAGTTAGCAGATACAGCTCGAGAGGAACTTCCTAGTACGATGGCTGCAATTAGGCTTTCTGGCATGGAAATCAGTGACCTCACCCTGGAACTAAGTGATTTAAGGTGATTATTAAACCATTAGGCTCCCTTTAGTATGGTTGTGGTTTTGAGTTTTTGGTTTTGTTTTTCAAAGTTCAAACAATCAAAATTAACAATTGAAAACCAAAATTAAAAATTAAAATTGCCAACTTATTGGGTATAAAATTTTAAAACAAATGTCCAAAACTCCAAATTTAATTAATTTATAGAATTACTTAATTTTATTCTAGGGTTTCTAAATTTTTAAAAATCAAAACCAAAAGCTCAAAACTACAATCATACTACATGGAGCCTTAGTTTACATCATTTTTGTTTTATTGTTATCCTTATATTTTATTGATTTCCTCTTGCAAATCTATGTAATAAATGCATTTGGAATAGAGTCTATTATGCATATTGCTGGAGAAAGATTGAAATAGAAGGTTCTCTGGGATTAGTCATATCCTGGGGAATTTGAGAGAAGGCTGTTGACAATCAATATTTTGTTACTAAAGCCAAGAAAAGTCTGACCCTTGTTTGCTTCTTGTATATTTTTTATAGGAAAATACTAAAAATTTTCATGAATGAGGAAATTTTCTGAGTTCTTTAGAGGGGGAATGAATAGAATGTTTGTGAGGAGAGGTTCTATAGATTTTGATTTCTAGTACAACAGTTAGATTGATTTGATATATTGATTAGGACCCACTGCTTTTAGGATATTTCTAATTCTGGTGACAGGTGTGTGGTTGTGCTCAAATTGAACAATGTATTCAGTGTTCACCATATTTTGTTGTCAGCATGCTTGTAGCAAACTGCCAACTTGATCATTGTTATTTGGGTGAAATCCCTCTATAATATGATAAGTACAATTGGGTTAAAATATTGCAGCAGGCCTACATGACCAAGCTTCATTAATTGTTTGAATTATTAACAATGGCAAAATCCCACCCTTATGCTTGCCTATATAACTGCCATAGCACATGGGTCTTGCATTTTTTCTTTTTCTTTTTATCATAATATCTTTTATTATTTTGGGTTCTCTTGGTGCCTAGCCACGAGATTGCTGATGGAGTCAACAAATCAACTAAAGTTGTTCGAGCTGCAGAAGCAGGGATCAGGCAGATTGGTTCCCTTGCCCGTGAACAAACCATCTGTGAGTTAAAAGCTCCATAGATTGTCTCGTGCTAATGTAATTTGCACTAATATTGTTTATCCTTTTTTATTTCTTGGAGCCTGACCATTGCCATTTCTTTACAGCAATGATTCAAGAGAGGGCTGACCTGCCAGTGATCTCTTGGCAACCTGTAGTTTTTGGAGCTGCCAGAAAGACTTCTCAAGCTGTTGGCCAAGCCACCAAGACCATCATAAATATGATCTCTGGAGGAGAGTCAAGTGAGGATGACAACGCCATTGAGAGACTGGATGTCTGAATAATTCGTTGGATCTCTTACCAACAGCTTGCTGGTTACATGTGGCAGAGAACCGCGGAATCACCCCACGTCGTTCAGAGTTTACTACAGAAGAACAGCATAATGCAAGAGTTTGAACCTGAGGAAAACATGAATGAATTCTTTGTGCAACATATTCATGCCATCATATCTTTTTCTTCAAAATATTGTATACTTCACTACAGCAGCCTTAATGAATGGGACTTTGGCTCTGTGTGGTTTAGTTTTCTGGGTTTTCTCCAATAAGACAATAAGAATATTTGAGTTGTAAGTAACAACAATTATTACCAGTTGGATATCAAAATCTTGATGCGTTTGAATGATAGTAACGGAATCTGAGATGAAGTCAATGTTTAGCGTCCACTTCTCTTTCACTCTTAGGCTCTCAGGGCCTCTATGTCGAACAAAAGCATTTTTTTTTTCCTTCCACGTGGAGCGGCTACGCGTTAACATCAATTGAAAGAGGATAAATACTAGATTTAGTATTTAATTTTTATTATAAAAATAAGATATTATCTCAACTTTTTATTTGGTAAAAAATGGACCTTAACTTTTTAAAATTATCAAACTTAAACGTTAATCCTATTGTTAATTACTTTTTTTTTTGAACAAGTAGATAAGGGTGGGTTCGAACCCACCATGGGGAGAGGAGCAATGCACCTTTACAGTAGCCTGAAAACCACTTGACTTGAAGGATGATGTGCCTATTGTTAATTACTTTTGTTAAATTTTCAATAGAAATCTTAATTAGAATTTTGAGAGGTTCGATACAAATATTTACAAAAATTTTCCTTTAATTTTAATTGCCCTAAAATTATTATTTTTTTGCTAAATTTTAGATTCTTTAAACACCTTAACTTTTTTTTTTTGAAAAATATTCATAAATTCCTTTTTTTAGTTCTACAAATAAGGGTTTATGTATATATTATAGATTGCAATCCTATCATTTGAAATGAAGTTTCATTTTATATTTTTTGGTATATTTTATAAAGTAGTAATTTATATGATAAATAAATTGCAATTAAAAAATATTTAGATTAAAAAGTTCATTACATTGGTAAGCTATTAAATTATATCAAAAGTTTCAATGATTGGAAAAAAATTATTATAAGATTAATTAGAATTTTATGATTTTATTTAAAAAGGTTAAAATAAAATTTTAATTATATTTTTTTTAAAAAATTAAAAAGAAAGAAACAAAATTATCCAATCCCTCCAATTCAGGAAAAATTAGAGGAACAAATGATTTGGTGGGTTTTCTTATCCCTATTATTAGTTTTATCCAAACACACAGAAGATGGTCTCTCGTTCTCCATTCCTCCCCTTTCTGCCTTCATTCAGACAATGAATGTAAAAGCATAGGTAAATTAATAATATGGTTAGATTTAAGGAAATAATTTTTTTTTTCATTTA